AGTCCCACTTTGCACGCTGCCAGCCAGTGTTGTTCTCTGCTTCCCCGCACTGTTCACATTCCCTCCCGCGTGGTCCCCTTCACCCTCAAGGCTGGCGAGGGGACTTCAGATCCTCCTGACTCTTTCAATCAAGGGCTCAACTGATGGAGTGAGACCCACCCAGAGAACGTCCCCATTGCGAGGTCACAGGCACTTGGGACTTTAATTCCACCTGCAGAATCTCTTCCCAAGAGTACCTGCATTCAGGTTTGCTTGAATAATCTGAAGAAGAGAATGTGGAAAAGGGGCAAGGGGTATTTTTCGAACTCTGCTGACCCCAGGGTGCTTCTTAAACTGCATTTCACGATGGCAAAACGATGACAGACATTCCGCCAAGAAAGGAATTCACAGTCCAATCATCGTGGAAAACACGAAGTTAAACAGTGAAATCAGTGCCGTTGGTGTCGTTTTAAGTTTATTTAGTTGGCGTCCACACCCCTTCCTCCAAGAGGGAGGTCCACGGAACTGGGTACCTCAATCACCCTCACCGCCTCGGAGGCGTTGCCCCTGAACTCAGTTTTGCCCTGGGTTCAATGTGGAAAGTGGGAGTGAGATCCACACTTACAAAGACCAGAGGGAAGAGACATTTAGGGTAGCAATCCACTGAAACCAGCCATCTATCTGTCCATTGCCCTTCCCAGCTGGGCTTCTCCCGAAGCAGAGAGGAATGCTTCTTCTTGGAAGGTGGATGTCCCTAGCAGGCAGCCCCGCCCCCTGCTGCCCCTTGTCCCCTCCCCTGGCACTCCCTTCACGACTGTCCCAGGGCCGTTAGACCAGGGATGGTTTAAGCCAGACCTATGGCCACCCTATCTCTTAACCCTGTGCATCTGGGCGCGAATTTTATATTACGTCCCCTGACATCAACTCCAAAATAATTTTGGTTTTCAACCCCATTCATTGGTAGCTATATGCCTGAATTCAAATTATGGTCCTTATTTTCCCTCTAAGGATCCCCTGGCCATCTTTTGGGTGGACAGCAAGTATGTTCCGGGCACTCTAATAAATCACAATTTCAGGTGGAAGGTTGTTCTTGCTGGAGGCAAGTGATTAAGCATCTTAATAGTGCAGCAAACTTATCAACAGACTCACCAAAAAAAAAAAAAAAAAAGGAAGCGATTTTATTCTCCCAGCTTGTGTTTCAGGGTATTTTACTACCTGCTTGCTGTCAAATGTCTGTCAAAGATTTTTGAAGCCCAAATTTGACTTTGAACAACCTCAAACGGTTTCTGTAAGGCACCCTGCATCAGGCCCTATAAACGGCCAAGGATTCTGCCTGCACGATCTAACTATCCAGTTCAATATCACCATGGCGCCTAAAAGGTTTTCAACATAGATATTAAATATATCCATATCATCGCTTCGGCGAGAGCGTGAGCTGTGCATTTTCCTCTGGGATCTTCCGGGCTATTTGCTGCTGACATACACTATTAAAAATAAACCTACCCCGAGGAACTAGTCATTTTACACGGTATTAGGACTAATGTTATCATTTAAGTAGCTGTGGAGATTTGCCAACAAAGAGGCCCCAGATAACGATGGAAACATGATCGTGTGAGATAATCTTCTGTGCGGAAATGACTTTCATCATCTGTAATATGTCGTTTAGACGCTTATTTAAGACTTATACTATTGAACAAATATTGATGCCTTCAACAGAATAAGAAACATCAATGCCATGGTTAGATAAAGCATCAGTTTCACTTCTGGGGCCTGGGACCAGACTGGGTATGAAATGTCCTGGAATCTGTGTAGTGAGGAGGGGAAGGAGGGTGGAGGGGAGTGGAGGGGAGGGGAGGGAGGGAGGAGATTCACTTCAGTCCAGCCACCTTCCTTTTAGACACATGCCAGGCACTGACGTGTGCAAGTTTAAGGAGCCTGCACAGTGATCTTATAAAGAAGGCAGTATTTTTATCCCCATCGTACAGATGAAGGCAAAGCGATGGTCAGCAGGTTTTCCTAAACCGAAGTTCAAGCACAGTCACCGCTAGGATGCGGCAGAACCGCGATCTGAATGTGGTTCTGACTCCAAAGTCCACACGCACCATACAAGCACTGTCCCCACCACCGGCCGAGGGGCCAAGACTCTGACAGCATTCTCACCACCCCCCCACGGGGCAGAGAAGTTAGCTCATGGTGTAGTTCAGCGGCCAGTCAATATTTTTTGAGCGTCTACGACGAACTAGGCACTGTGTTAGGCGCAGAGCGTACAGAAGTGTCCCCCAACCCAAAAGTCAGATGTCGCAGTTTGGTAGAAGCAGCTGGATGCCCATGTTGAATGCCTGCACGGCTTGGAAAAAGTCAGTGCCCGTGCTCTGTGCCTGCACAGCTTTCTAGCGCTTTTGATGGACTGGATGGACCTCTTCAACGCCTATCAGACTCAGAGCTTCGCAAGCGAGGCTCTCCCCATCACAACAGGCTCGGGGCTCCCAGAACACATTCATCCTCCACACGTACAACTAGTTTCTGTCGTTTTCTGTTATGCGAAACCACGTCACCCATCCACTGTCTATGTGGCCCTCCCGTAGCCCAGGAAAGTAGGTGATATTCGCCCATTTTACAGATGGAGACACTGAGGCTGGGAGAGGTAAAGTGACTTATCCCAGAGCACGCAGACGGAGGGACACAGTGGAGAGTATACTGCCTTCATCCCGCCACGAACCCACGGTAGAGGATCACATTAGCTGAGGCTTACGGCTTACCAGGCCCTTTGAGGCAGGTGGTATGATTTTGCCCATTTTAGGGCGACGAACCCAAGGCCCAGAGAGGTAAGTCACCGGACCTCCAGGCCCTCCTAACGAGGTGAGCCTTTTTGAAACAGGCAGCTCGGGTTCAGCAATGATTGGCCAGGTCCCCTTTGGTTGGGTCGCCACCACTCTGGGGACAGAAGCCTTCTTAAAGGCCAAACAGGGAGAGCTAGCTCTCTTCTTGTCCCTCTCTTCCTCACTTTCTCTGGGATGCGGGGATCCCTGTGCCCTCATAGGAGCTGGAGCGATCTATTTTTATGTGGACAGGACACATAATTTGCAGGAGGGGTCCAGGCCGGGGGAGACAGAGGGATGATAGGAGACACCTGAGCTGGTTCTGGGGCGGGCACCGGCCTGATGGTGTCGCGCTGGTTAACCTGCACCGCCGGCCTGACGGGATTTGGCAAAGTCAAGCCCTGTCTCACTGCTAGTCATTTCTACCTGCTGCATTTGCATATACATATGATATCCGTTATCCTAATTATATCTGTTTTCCCAGGTATGGAGAGACATACCCCAGAGTTGGGGTGCCCATTAGCAGATCACACGGGCCTCTGCAGCTGTGTTTTGATCAGCGGAAAAGGTTCCCTGGCATCGGAGAACTGAAATCACCTTTTAGGGTATGACAAGCGCAGCCAAGCGTCTCGCAAGTGAAAAATCAGAGGTTTCTCCGAGGAAGGAGTGAGAACGACCACAAAGAATTAAAAGGAGAATACCCTTTAATGGTTTCCACTGTGAAAGCTCAGTCACGCTTAAGGCCTGCCATCCATCAGGCAGCGTGGCACTGGAGTGCCTCGGAAGCCCCCATACTCGCTTCTGGAAGGAGGGGGTGGCCGCGGGAGCCCCCAGGGGAAGCCCAACCCGCCATTTTTCCAGGCTGGGCTCCAGCAGGGAGGCCTTGAAGGTGAAGGGGCCAAGCCTGGTTGCCAGAGTATTATGGATCCTGATGTATTCCCATCTGCCTCCGATGACTTGCAAAGGCTCTGCAAATCCTTATGCAAATCAGCAAAGCCGTCTTTTAGACCCTGAGGCTCAGGGACTCTTCACAAGACCACTGGTAGTATTTTCACGTCTGCGGGCCCCCACCATGGACTTGTATGCCCACGCTCCGGAGGCTTCCTTGGGGGTCTTGTGTCTCTGTGTCGCACATGCGGCTTATGGGTCAATACCTCAGGTGGGAAGCTTGTGAGTCCTTCGTAATACGAGGCATGTTCCTAAGCTCTCTCCTATCTCACCCTTGACGACTCTTATAAGCAGGTTTGTGACCCCAACTGCCCTGGGCCTAAAGGCACTCAGAGACCTGCCCAAGGTCAAATGGCCAGGCCGGGCTGAACTCTGTGTGTAACCCTTGTGCCCTAACTTCGAGTCTGGTGCTACTCCCTCTATATTTTCCTGGTTCAGATATTGCATATGAAGAATGGCAGAGGACGGGGGAAGCCAGGAATCGGGACAGGGGATTCTCCATATCATCCCCAAAGAACCACACCGCAGAGGGGGAGCGGGGCTTTGTGGATTGAAGATGCTCCCCGGGTGATCATGACGTGTTCCACCAGGTCCGTCGGATTGAAAGGTATTAATCCATTCTTTCCTTCGACAAATATTTACTGAAGACCTACTATATGCCAGGCATTGTTCCACACAGCTTACCTTCAACGGGAGGCAGACAGGTATCAGCTGTGTTGAGGGCTCTACCAAAAAGGAAACAGACCGGCCAGGGCAGTCTCCCTGAGGAAGAGCATCTAAGTCACGGCTCCTTCTAGAGCACGAACAAGTCCTGTGAGAGCCGCAGGGAGAGGATCTCGGCAGGGGTGCAACATGGCAGAGGTTCAGGAGCTTCTAGAAAGGGCTGAGTTTGAGAAGCAGAAAGGAGGCGGGCTGGCTAGAGCAAGGTTGTCAGGGGCAGAGAGTACGAGATGAACTTGGAAAGGGAAGCAGGTGGGAGCCCACGCAGAGCCTCAGACGGTTTTTTAGGTAGCCTTTAGACTACCCCCAAACTTGTAGCTTAAAAATAAGGTGTTTTTTTTCCAGGGAGCCTGGGTGGCTCAGTCGGTTAAGCGTCTGACTCTCGGTTTCAGCTCAGGTCATGACCTCCTAGTTCATCAGTTCAAGCCCCACGTCGGGCTCTGCGCAGACAGCACGGAGCCTGCTTGGGATTCTCTCTCTCCCTCTCTTTCTCTGCCCTTCCCCTACTCATTCCCCCCATCTCAAAATAAACTTTTAAAAAATAAAGGTGTTTTTCATTAATAGATTAGAATAGCATAGTATATTATATGACAATGCAGTGGTTCTCAAGCTTTAGAATGTATCAGAATCACATGGAAGTCTTGGTAACGTTCCAAGACCCCCCCATAGAGCATATGTGGGGTGGGGCCTGGGAGTCCGCCTCTCCAACAAGATCCCGGGCGACACCTGCTGCTGGTCCGGGACCACTCTCTGAGCACCATGATGCTGAGACTGTTCCACCTCTATTCTGGGCAAGTTTTGGCTTTTGAAACCCTTGTTTCAGTGATGTGCGTGTCCATGTGTCCCAGATCCTGCTATAAAATGTGCTCTTTTAAGAGCGGGTCATACTTTCAGAAGTGGGAAGCCCCTAGATGAGAAATGTAGGACCTTTCTTTAGAAATCCTCATCCTTCGAGGGTCCCGTGAACCCTGCTGGGAAACCGTGGCTTCCCTGAAAGTAAACAAACCAGCAAAATACCTGAATGAAAACCAAAAATAAATGAAAGAAAATCTATGTGGAATAGGAAATAGGGTTCATTCATAGCCTCACCTTGGCCTTGATTTGTCCTACCAAACCTTCTAAAATATTTGGATATAAAGCCCAGGTTCATGCTTGTCCCTTGTCACCCTGGCTCCTGACTTCAGTTCCCCGGGGGCGGGGGTTGGGGGGGGGAGCACTCTGGCTGCTGGGATCATGTTTTGCTGTCCTGGGGCCATCCCCACAGTGTCGCCATTCTGCAGAAGGCCCACCAGGGTTCAGTCCTTCAGAAGCAAACCCGCTCACCTGGTTCACCCTGCGGCTCAGGTGGTTTTCCACACACACCTTGACTGGTTCCTCTGTCATCCAGCCCTCCTTCTCCTATAAGCTTCACTGGTTCCAGGTCCCCATGGGAAACCGGGGCTCAGTCCCAACTTCTTGCTCCTGGCCAGTTCTGACACCAGTTATAAAAGCATGTCTCGGGGCGCCTGGGTGGCGCCGTCGGCTAAGCGTCCGACTTCAGCCAGGTCACGATCTCGCGGTCCGTGAGTTCGAGCCCCGCGTCGGGCTCTGGGCGGATGGCTCGGAGCCTGGAGCCTGTTTCCGATTCTGTGTCTCCCTCTCTCTCTGCCCCTCCCCCGTTCATGCTCTGTCTCTCTCTGTCCCAAAAAATAAATAAAAAACGTTG